TTTTAATCTGTCCAGGAAAAGCAGTGTATGCAGTGCATATAGGTGCTGCTATATCATGTGGGCACAAAAGCGTTGAGTAAAAAAAAACAAATCAAGTTTTTATTTTTTTTCTATGCAACAACTTTGGGCATGTTTAAATTACAGATGTTTATACTCACCCAATGGTAGTTTGCAATTGGTTAAAAGTGTTTATTTTAGATTTCTTGTGCACATGCACATGTCTTTAAATATACTAAATAATAGAGCTTGATTGGGATAGTTGTACAGCTAGCGGTAGATGTCGAAAAATGCCCTTAACTTTAAATTCAAAACTTGACAGGTATGGAAGTATGCCATTGACGGCTAAAAAGGGCAAGTTTGGAGTCTGACTCAGAGGGACCTTTAAAAAAAGAAATCCTTCTACATAGAAAAATAAAGTCTTACTGCATCTTTAGAAGTAACATTAAATTGGCATTCATCACTTTGCTGAGTAAAGGTCACCTTGTGATAATAAAGCAATTTGTTATAGACTAAATCATGATATATGTTTGTTTTTTTTCAAGAACATGTAATATCCCCTTCCTTCAGACATTTCGAAGTGACTGATGCACCCACGAACAGAACAATTCAAAACTTTAAGAGTAAATACATAAAAAGGCCTTTGTTTAAAGAAAAGAAAAGAAAAACTTTTTATTGTCACAAATCCATGTAGTCAAGTTTCACGGTCTTTCCGTTTGTAAAAAGCACCTCAGTTCAATGCAACATGGCAAATATTAATGAGAATTCAAATCATACAGTTGATCAATATCAGCGCTGCATTCAAATGTTTCCTCCCCATTGGGGCAAAAGTCACAGCTCCTGCGGATGGCTGTCTTCCAACAGCTCTATTAAAGTCTCCTGATTAGAGAATTCCTGCAGCGAGGAGTTCATCTCGTTCAACAGTTCCTCCCCCAATAGGAAGCTCTTGACGTCGTGCACTGTCATGCTAATGCGGTGGTCCGTTATTCGGTCCTGGGCGTAGTTGTAGGTCCGAATCTTTTCCGATCTGCCTCTGGTGCCGATCTGGAAAAGGGACAGAAAGCAACGCAGCATTTGGTCATTTTTGCATTCACTTTTTCATGCAAATAATTCACATCATAAACATTCCACATGAATAGTAATTCACATTGTAAACTTTTATCTCATTAATAAATATCATATTAAATTGAAATGAATATAATCTCACTTGGACTTTGCGCTGGTTGTGACGCTTGCTGGTCTCCTCCTCCAGCTTCATGCTGTATAGCTTTGCTCTAAGAGCTTTCATGGCCTTCTCCCTGTTCTTTAGCTGCGAGCGCTCCTGTTGGCACTCTGCAACCACACCTAACAGACAGAAAGCAACATTCAAGAACCTCTGTTATGAAATGTTGCAAACCGTTATAATTTCTCCAGCAGAACATTCACACTGAACCAGGCGTTGATGTCAAAAGGCGTTTTTTCCTTTTCATTTTTGCCATATGGATGCTCAGTGTGAGGGATTGCTTTAAATGTTAAAATAGGATGTTTAATTTCTGTTTCAGCCTAAAGAGAAGAAGATTTTTCAGTTTTTCTTTTTATAGTTAGCTTTTTTATACTATCTTTCCTCCTAATGCATGCAAGCTTGCAAAACTGTCTGTTAGCCTTGAGAGGATTTATGACAACAGTGCAGTTTGTATTAATCAGTAGAATACTGCCCTGTCCTCTATATGGGGACAAATGAAGGTTATGTTAGGCTTTGTTTGATTTTTAATAATGTGTTCAACCTAATTTTACCTGTTGGAAGGTGGACTATTCTCACTGCGCTGTCTGTTGTATTGACATGTTGACCGCCAGCTCCACTCGCTCTTTTTGTCTCAATCCTCAGATCCTTTGGGTTTATTGTGAAAGAAATCTAAAAACAACAAAGCACACAGAATCAAACAGTCACTCAAAGGAAAAGACAAACAAAAACGTTCCTTAAAATCTATAATATTAATAAATAAATTAATATCCATCATTATCTTCAATTTGCATTATTTTGATATTAATTTCTAGTTTCTATTGTTATGCATTGTATTTAGAAAACAAAATGTTTAAACTAATTATTTATTTTTTTTTATCTATGGACAGCATGAATGAGCACATCAATTCATCAGTTTTTTTTCTTTTTAATCAACCTTTGGTTTCGTACCTCAGTAGGTTGGGGCAGAACAGCTACAGTCATGGTGCTGGTGTGCATCCTTCCCTGTCTTTCAGTCTTGGGAACCCTCTGAACCCGATGAACTCCAGCCTCAAACTTCATCTTTTTGTAGCTCTGAGGGCCGCTGATGCTGGCTGATGCGTGGCGTAGTCCGCCTGCTCACATTTAGGCCACAGATTAAGAACAGAGTTTTTAATGTGTTCAACTTAAAGGTACAATAAAAACTATTAAAAGGATGCTGTCACTTTTACCGTATATTCGCGACCATAAGGCACATATAACGTCTTTTTTTCCCTCAAAATGTGCAGCGCCCCCTATAGTGCGGCGCGCCCTATGTGTGTTATTAATGCGGACGTTGTTGAGACCGCCATGAGAACGTTAAAGGGGGAAGTGTGGGCGTGGATTGTGTATAAAAGAACAGGTATGTGCTTTATGCAGAACTCCTCATCTCCTCATTGAGGAGATGATGAAAGAGTGGCTGAGGCAGGTGAATGTAAGGAGACCAGGTGTTTTTTTCCACGCATCACCATCGCTGTTAATCTGTGACTTTGTGCGTGCCCATCTCACAGCCGATGTGAAATACAAGGTGAATCAAATGAACGCTGTGCTTGCTGCTATCCCGGGGGGTCTGATAAAGGAACTTCAACCGCTCGACATCGGTGTGAACCGGCCGTTCAAAGTAAGGCTGCGAGCGGCGTGGGAGTGATGGATGACAGATGGAGACCACAGTTTTACGAAAAGTGGAAGGCAGCGCCAGGCAAGTTACGCCACAGTTTGCGGATGGATTGTAGATGCTTGGACTAACGTGTCTGCTGGCACTGTTTTTCGAGCTTTCGCAAAAGCCGGCATTATTTCTGAGGAGCCGCGCTGCACGGAAAGTGACTCTGACAGCGAAGAAGGGGAAATTGGCATGTCTGATTTAGCGCAGCTGTTTAATTCAGAAACAGAGGATGATGACTTTGATGGGTTTGATTTATACTTTGTAATAAATACATGAATAAAGCACAATCATACTCAGTTTTGCTCCCACTCTATTTTTGAATACGCAGTAGAGGTATTTAAAGGTAGTAGAGGACATGTACCTGTATATAAAACCCGCGCCCTATAGTCC